ATTGTTCGAACAACAAATATTTTCCTCCACATTGTTTTCACCACTGTTACGTTAAAATGCAAAAACTACCCTCTTCTTTTGATTACTCCAGCACCAAACTTTGGCACATATGATGGTTCCTTCATTGCGGCCTGCAGAGCAAGCAAACCATTACACATACTTTAATATGAGGGTACTCCACACTAACAGGTGAGGATGACAAAGCCCCAAATCAAACCAAGCTGCACACTCAAGCTCTGCTGTTTATCCTGCATACACAAAACAATGAAGAAATAAAGCAAGCAATGTCATTAAATAGGTACTTAGGCAAGCTATTGTTGATTCCCCTTGGAATCCCAACCAAGCAAGAATTCATCTGCCATTGACCTTTTAAAAAATTACTTGTTCCTGCTTTTCATTTCCTGGTCACAGTCATCTTTACATAAATCTGAAAAACACAGTATGGGAAATACAGTAGCAGCACAGGGTACACCTATAAAACAGCATCTATGGAAACTAACAAGGTCTAAGCGTCACCCAAATAACCAAAACAACAACAGTAAACTACACACATAAATAATCGGTTATTTGTACATTCCATAAAGTTTTAACACTCCTACGCACAAAAAACATTGAATGCAACCATTTAACACTCATACCTATAAAAACGTGCACTGGAGCCTTTGAAAACATGGGAGTGTACATATATATTATGATCATGACAAATGAGCTATTAAATAGCTTCTTAAACAAGGCACAGACGTTAAAAAAGCACACACCACCCTTCTGCGCTGCATCACCAATTCCTTTCAGTGAGAAGGAAAACATTCCAGGGGCCCTGCAAGCTATACGTGTGATTTTTTTCTCTGATGTTTGGGTCTAAGTGGTGTGGGACTGTGTTGTTGTTCAGTCACACAGTCGAGTCTGACTCTTCGCGACCCCGTGAACCAGATTATGCCAGGCCTTCCGCCATCCTCTGAAGTTTGCTCAATTTCATGTTCGTTGCATCTATGTGGGACTGTGGGGACACAGTGAATCTTTGACTGAGGGCCAATGGCGATTTTCAGCAACCATGTGTATGGCACAGCTCTCACAGTGGGGTAAACTTGAGTGGTTTTGCAGGAGAGCATCTGTATAACACAGAAGTAGTACTCAGATTCAATCCCTGCCCTTTCCATTTAATAGGACAGGGTAGCAGAGGTCCTGAAGATGGAGAGCTCCACAGACTCAGTAGAAGGAAGCATCGCGTGTTCAAGGTGTATCAGGAATGTACCCCAAGCCAGTGTTCCCTCTAAGCTGAGTTAGTGGGAGTGGCTCACCGTTTTTTAGCCTCCGGCTCACACGTTTTTGTCTCAGCTCAGGAAGGATCGCTCCAGAGCAAACTAGTTGACGCAGCAGCCAAATCGCCCACTCGCAACTTTAATGCCAGCAGCTCACAAAGTAGAATTTTTGCTCACAAAACTCCACAGCTTAGAGGAGGCATTGCTCCAAGCGGGGGCTTGCATGTCAAAATGCTCCTCCGTACAAACGGAAACGTTAAGGGGGGGAGAAAATCCCTGCACGCAGAAAGCCAGACTTCAAGGAGAAAGGTTGTACGGCTACCCTTGGCGCCCCTGCTGCACGAACACTGCACTGCTGGGGTGCACACCAGCTACCTAAAATGGGGGGGCCCACAGGCTTCCGTCGATATCCGCGGCGACGCGTCTACGAGCCTCCCGTGCACGGGTTCCCTGCTGTACGTCGGGAACGGAGGGGGGGGGAGAGAGACTGGCTTACTCACATGGGCTCTAAGGTTTTGCTGAGCCAGGATTTCAGCGCCTCGAAGTTTTCTATGATCATTTTCGCCACCATCCAGAGCGGCCCGAGCCCCGCCTCCCCCAGGCAGCAATGGCAGAGGTGGCAGCCAGGGCCCGGGGCCCAGGCCAAGAAAGGGGCGGGGACGGCACCAGGTACGGCGGACGGATCCGCAGACGGCCGCGCGGAAGCCTCGCCCCGGAGCGGACGGCTGAGCCCGGGCCTGTAGAAGCCGCGGCCCTCTCTTCCCCTTCTCCGCCCCAGACCCCCTTTCCCGGCAAGGCCTCAGCCGGCCAGCCGCCCACCAACGACTGGTCCTCTACGCTTCTCTTCCCCACTCCCGCACAGCCACTGGCCGCCGCCGCCGCCGGAACAACTAAGATGGCGACGGGGAAACCTCGCGGGGTTTGAGGAAACCTCGCGGAGGGAGGAGCGAGAGAAAGGGGCGGGGGGGAAAGAGAGCGGAACGGCGCT